TCCTCACACCTAGGGGTATCCGAAAATACCCTATGTATGTTACGCGATTTTTTGTAGTTTTCGAGTTATGATTTTTTTTACCCTTTTTTTTGAAAATATTCACCCTAAACAGCTTAATATTAAAAAAATGTAATTATGAAATTTTTTCCAAGTTTTTTGTTTGTAGCATGATCCTTATGAGTTGCCCTATTATGCATAAAATAATTAGCTTCCTAACATTCACCGAAGATACAATAATTTTAAACGAAACTTAAAAATTTTCTGTCAGGAGAGTAGGGCTTCATTAAAAAAATGACACTTAATGGGCCAGTTTTTCTGTTACAGACTTCTGAAGTTACTCAGGAAGGAAACTACCTAAATAGTTAATTTGATTTAAAAAATCTTTTTTATCATTTCTAGGGCTAAACTAAGATAGTAAATGCTTCAGGTTAGCAAAGAAAACTAATTATTGTTAAAACGTGACATTTATTAAGGTATCATTTTACTACAAACTACATGTTTTTTTTTATTTCACTGAAACTAAATGATAGCACATTCAGTCACAAACACACAAAGGAATTTTAAACAAAGACTCAGGTAAACATTCCTGCTTTGCGCTCTATTTTGTTACCAGGCCACACCCCGCGCCCCGCGCCACACCGACCGCGTCCCTTTTTCACCTCGCTCGGTCCCGCCAGTCGTTCACTGCTTTTCCGCGTGCAACCACTACTCACGTTTACGTTTATTTGGATCTCTTATTTGACTACCTTCGCTTTGTTTCCCGGATTCTTGATTTGCCTTACGATTGACCTGTGCTTGTTTTATGGACCTTGAGTTGCTTAGTGATTTGGATTACTTTTAGCAATGAGTTATTCTCTCAGTCAATACGCAGAGATGCACTATTTCTACGGCGTTTCAAATCGAAAGCAACTATCGAAGGCAACTAGAGCGGCGAGGAGAAGTGTTAGAGCATTACCCGGGCTACAGGGTTTTTAATAAGACCCACGAAACCCTGATGGCTGGACGCGTTCCTGGGCATAATCAACGTCGCGAAGGACTACCCAGAGTGGATCCAGAAAGAAGAGATGTAATCATTGAAGAAGTAGAAAGAGACCCTTCTACTAGTTCACGAGCGATTACGAGAAGGACTGGAATCCCAAGGACTTCAGTTTTAAGAATACTGAAATCAGGTGAGTGCATTTTATTATTTTGTAGACCTCTTTATTCAAAATCCCAACACATTGCTGCACTGCCATTTCAAATCACACTTATTTAATTTACTGTGAATTGTCGATGTCTAATGTGTTGTATGAGCGTGTAAAAGAGAGAGATGTAGAGACCCTTAAACAAGCGCTCGTAATTCAAAAATAGGCGCTAGGACGCCACTCTAGCGAATCCCAACTTTTAGTTTCACGTTCACGTGCTCTATTGGTACGTACCTCTAGTATTGTGTACAATGACAACCTACAATAAAAATACTAATCTTTTTTTTCAGAGGGATATAACGCGTTTCATATTCAGCGTGTTCAACAACTTAACGACGCAGACTATCCAAGGCGTGTTGCTTTCTGCCAAATAATGCTGGAAAGATCTGCGGAAGACCCGGATTTTTAAAGAAGATACTCTGGACGGATGAATCCCGGTTTGAAAGGACTGGCGTCTTTAACATTCACAATCATCATAGCTGGGCCATTGAAAAAGGCAGTCAAATTTTTCAGAATAGATTTAGTATCAACATGTGGTCAGGAGTCATAAATGGAGAAATGGTTGGGCCCTTTGAATTGTCGTCTAGGTTGAACGGGTCCCAGTACCTGAATTTTCTACGAAATAATTTAAATGGTTTATTGCTTAAAGTTAATTTACAAACGAGGAGGGATATGATATTTCATAATGACGGTGCTCCTTGCCATTTTGAAAGACAAGTGAGGGAGCACCTCAACAGAACTTTCCCAGGAAGGTGGATTGGGCGTGCAGGGCCAATCGAATGGCCTGCACGCTCACCAGATTTAAACCCTTTAGATTTTTTTATTTGGGATTCTACAAAGAGATGGTGTATGCTAGAAAAATTAATTCGGAAAATGAATTAAGGGAAAAATTGAGACAGTGCGCAGAAAAAATCAAAGAAAATACGAATGCTTTTCGAAGACTAAAAGCCAATTTTTTAAGACGATGTAGACTGTGTATCGAAGTTAATGGCCGCCATTTCGAAAATTTACTTTAAATAAATTTATCTTAAATTATTTACTACTTTTATTATGAATCTTGAAATCATTTGTCCAGAACGTAGTAAAATGATACCTTGTTGTCTATAAATTTTAAACAATAAGTAAAGACACTTGATGTTATTATATGATATATGATGTTATTTTTGCTAACCTGAAGCATTTACTATCTTAGTTTAGCCCTAGAAATGATAAAAAAGATTTTTTAAATCAAATTAACTATTCAGGTAGTTTCCTGCCTGAGTGACTTCAGAAGTCTGTAACAGAAAAACTGGCCTATTAAGTGTCATTTTTTTAAATGTTATTATGAAAGATTAAGGTACTGCCAAGTTTTTTAAAATTAATTAGAAAGTATGAAATCATTTATTACCATTTTTCATTTAATGTTGAAAATTCAAGGCCCACTCTCCTGACAGAAAATTTTTAAGTTTCGTTTAAAATTATTGTATCTTCGGTGAATGTTAGGAAGCTAATTATTTTATGCATAATAGGGCAACTCATAAGAATCATGCTACAAACAAAAAAACTTGGAAAAAATTTCACAATTACATTTTTTTTTATATTAAGCTGTTTAGGGTGAATATTTTCAAAAAAAAGGGTTAAAAAAAATCATAACTCGAAAACTACAAAAAATTGCGTAACATACATAGGGTATTTTCGGATACCCCTAGGTGTGAGGAATCAAAAAAAATTTATAACCTCACTGTTTGGACCAACCTGTATAATATAAGTGATTCGAAATTCGTTTACCAAGGTTTTACATTATACTGTAAGGGTTCCTATTATGTAGTCTTTTTTAAATTTTGTTCAATTAACGTATTTTTAACGTGAATATTTTAATTATGTAAAAAATATATTATAATAGTGGGTAGTGTAGCGAAATATCTTCGAAGTAAAAATTTAATTACATGACAAAATAGTAAAATCGGCCAAGCTAACAGTTATAGGTATATAATATTTATCAATAGTTTAGCAAATATCTAGAGAGTGGGTTAAAAGCCAAATAACTCTCAGTACACAGCACAGAAATAAAACATGTATTTTTAATAACCGTGTTAAAAAAATGAGTTATTTTGAAGCGTCTTTTTAGTATATCAGATGATTTCTCGATAATGGCTGAACTTATTTCAATTACTCTTTTTTATAAAATAGGTTTTCCTTTATGGATACTCCAATATAAATTTAAAGAAATACGTCGATGCCATTTAATAAAATAGTGAATGAAGATTTTAATTTACCTTTTTAAGCAACATTTTAGCTGTTACCTTAAACTTCTGATATTAGTTAAACCACTCGCATGAGTAAAATAATTAAAGTATAACTTAAAGTAGAACAGTTTTCAAATGTACTTATACGTAATTCGTAACTATGTCTGAACAACGACTTCATAAGCTATTATGTGGAAATTATTTTATTTTGTTGTAATTTTTTGAGCCCGTTCTACATTTTATTAAAAGTTTAATCATAGTTTAAATCTATATATAAATTGATTATTTAAAGTTTATGTTTAGATAACTGTGTAGACCGTTAGTATTATAACCTGCCAACAAATATTAGAAAAATATTTCCTTCAAAGTTTAAGCTGAACATCAAACGAGTTTACTCCTTTTTAAGAGTTTCAATTTACCTGGTGTTGCAGTTGTTTGTAGGCGGCGGTAATCACTTACCATCAAGCGTATACTCGTTTGCCCCCTCTCCTATAAAAAAGCACCCAATAAATATGTATGAAAGAAATAGGAACTTAAATAAAACTTAAATAACAAAAACAAATAAGAGTGTAACTTATTTTATGTACCATAAAATAGGATCATACAAACACAGACGCAAAACTTGGCACTATAACAGCTGGAAAAGCGCATTAGCAATCTTCAGATATACTCACTGAAATTTCAAATTTAAGAAATATTATTAGGACATTAATGTATGTTGGAGATAAGCCAAATCGATTGTCGTGAGGTTCTAGTGACCCATGAGGCTACTGCAGATTATTACGTGGATGGTTCTTTTAAAACTGAGTTTAGGAGAAGAAATATAAAATTATTGTAATGGCTAGCAGTAAAAAAACGAAGTTGTTTTTAATAGGAGTTGTAAAATTCATTTAAATGCTATATTTCAATAAAATTCTACTGATTGGTTTTAACAAATTTTTTATATAAAATAAAACGAAGTCGTGCATAATGTATGATTTCGTAACCGAAAGTCGCCAAAAATTTACACTAATAGACATATAATAATAATTATTATAATATGTATATTAGTGTAATTAGGCATGGGGAATTGACGACCCCATCGCCCGCTGACGTAACAGTTATGTGATAAAACCGCTACGTCAGCGCAGTCAGTCAGCACCTTGCCAAGAGGTGTAAGTGCCGTGCCTCGGCAAAACTTGAAGGTGCAAAGGCCCGCTTGTAGCGTAGCGTATAGCCCCACCATTAAACGGTGCCGGGTTTGGGCATCTCCCGTTAAATGACGCCCACTTATATGGATGATGGAATACGGAAGAACGTGCAAAGGGCCGCTGCCTGGAGGTCGCCAGGGCGCGTCTGGAGCTGGCGCTGGACGCGACCGCATGCGAACCGCCAGCCGAGCGAGAGGTGCAGCACGACCACCCATCAGCCCCTCGCATCCATCATCCCCACCAGCTGGCCTGGTGTCAGCAGGGTCTTCGCGGGCCCAGCAATCGGCACCCGCCACTGGTGGAGTACGCAGCATGCGATGGACAATCCAAATGAATACCAACGCACTGCAGGCGTATTTTACATATCGTTTTTTAAATATCTTTTGGCATATCGGCCTGGGATGCATCGTCTTTTTGCTGAGCTGGAGCCATCTATAACCGTCATAGAGCAAAACATGGCAGATCGAGTTTGGTATATCTTGCGCTCAAATACATTTGATGTCGCCGAACTCGAACGGCTACGACGTCAGGCTGTTCCTTCATCGGGTGAAAATGCTACGGCTGAGGATGCGGCGCCACAACTTGCAGAGCAAACGGCAAACGTGGATACCGCCGTGAATACCCCAGTTGTGGTTGAATCAAATGATGATGGAACAATCGCCCAGGAACTGGTACTAGAGCAAATGAAGAGTACATTGGAAGAGGAGATTGTGGAAACGCGGCCCTCGAAATCACTCCCTAGCCTAAGCAAGCGGAATCGGGCTGTCGTGAGGGCTCTGAACCCAATTCTGGTGACTTATTTGGAAGCCAGCCGGGACATTTGCGAGACGGACTCAATTCTTTTTGGCACCGCACTGGCAGTCTGCCGTATTATAGGCGCCAAACTTTCCACGGCTGGACGCGCTAATGGAGAAAGTAGTGCTATCCCAGCCTGGAGAATAAGAATTGAAGAACGTATTGCAAAGGCTAGGGCCCTTATCGGCAGACTGATATGCTTCAGGTCAGGCAATGCCGGGCCAAGGATTGTGCGCACCGTCAGGATGGCGTTTGCTGGGACAAATGTTAGTTTGTGCCAGCCGGATATGATGCAAAAACTGACGGAGTACATAGACGACCTGAAGCAGAGAATCGCTGCTTGGGGAAAACGGATTCGGCGATATACCGAGAGGTCGACACGGTTCAACCAGAATCGTCTCTTCCAGACTGATCAGAAGAGGCTTTATAAATCATTGGAGCGACCAATGGTAGGTGGAACGGGCCCAGCACCGAATCAGGCTGACACAGTTGCATTCTGGCGCAGCCTGTGGTCAGAGCCCGTAAACCACACAGGGCAGTGTATGGGGCAGTGAAGTACGATCCTCTGTCATCTAGGCGAGCGGATGACTTTTGCGGAAAACCGCATAAGGATAAGAAGGGGTATATTCCAGGGCGACTGTCTGAGTCCAATCTGGTTCTGCCTTTCTTTGAACCCTCTCAGTAGTTTACTGGAGGTCTCCGGGAGGGAATTTCAGCTTCACAAAGGTGGTACAAAAGTGACCACCTTTTCTATATGAATGACCTCAAATTATTCGCCTCCAGTCGCTCCCATCTTGTGGAATTGCTAAACATCACTCGTGAATTTGGCAATTCTATCGGAATGGAGCTGGGGACGGGTAAGTGTGCGGTCCTCCATGTTGAAAGGGTAAGGGTTGCTAACTCTGAGGGCATAGACTTATCTATGCCCGTTAGCTTAAGAACACTATCCGAGGCTGAAACATACCGATACCTGGGTATGTCACAGAACATCGGTATCAATGATACTGGTATGAAACAGTCAGTTTTCGACATGTTTTATGCACGCTTGACCAAAGTACTTAACAGCCTTTTGTCCGGTGTGAATAAGGCAAAGGCATATTACGGCTGGGTCATGACTGTCCTCATGTACACCTTTGGCATACTCAGGTGGACTCAGACTGAACTTAACGCCCTGGATAGAAAAGTCCGCACTACTATGACGTCCCATAGGATGCATCATCCGAGATCGTCGGTAATGAGGCTGTACTTGCCGCGAAAGCATGGTGGGCGTGGCTTCGTTAGCGCGCTCACCATGCATAATCGCGAAGAGTGCAGCCTCCGTGATTACTTCCTGGCGAGATCGGATTATCCATTCTATAATGACGTCATTTCTAGTGATAAAGGGCTCATCGCTCTATCCTTAGCCAACGAGCAATGGCAGGACCCGGCAGTACAAAGCATTTCCGATCGGGTGACGGTATGGAAGGAGAAGGAGCTCCACGGGAGGTACTACAGGGCTCTACATGAGCCCTTCTTAGATACAGTCGCCTCCCTCAACTGGCTACGTTTCGGTAACCATTTCGGGAAAACCGAGGGTTTTGTCTGTGCAATACAGGATCAGGTTATTAAGACCAACAACTATCGGAGATAAATCCTAAAGGATGGCACCGTTGAGATCTGCGAGCTTGTCGGCATCCCGGTGAGTCACATAGGCATGTCATCTCCGGTTGTTTGACGCCTTCTAACTCTGAGGACTTGCACAGGCACAACTTAGTAGCCAGAATTCTTCACCAGGTGCTCGCTCTGAAATAAGGTCTCGTGGACCGGAAATTGCCTTATTACAAGTACTTGCCGGAAGCCGCGCTTGAAAATGATCGCGCTAGGCTCTACTGGGACCAGCCCATCATCACAGACAGGAATATTCTTGCGAATAATATTGATATTGTGCTGATGGACAGGGCACATTCAATATTTTTGGTCGACATTATCATTCTGTATGAGGAAAACCTTGTGAAAGCCGATACAGATAAGCGAACAAAATATCTGGACCTGGCTCAAGAGGTGACCGACATGTGGGACGGTCTGCCGACTGAAATTATTCCTGTAGTCATTTCTGCAAACAGGCTAATCCCAGTCAGCCTCTCGAGTCATCTGAGGCGGCTGGGGCTCCGTGACGGAGCGCTCCAGGCTCAAATGCAGAAGGCGGTGCTCTTCGATACCGCCCTCATCGTCCGCCGGTTTCTCTCCCTTTCCCCCTAAACCTCGGCCGTTTGGTCTCCCCTGCCTAGGGCCTCCATCTGGTTTGGCTTTTATTTATTTATGTATTATTTATTTATTTATGTTGGTATATGAAATATGCATTTATGTATAGATATCATCCATCCTAATATTATAAATGCGAAAGTGTGTTTGTTTGTTTGTCCTTCTTTCACGTCCCAACAGAGCGTCGGCATGGCATGATTTTTTGTACGGGGATAGTTCGTTGGCTGTAGAGCGACACAGGTTACTTTTTTTCCGCGGAAAAGCGTATCATTCTCGTGGGAAAATCGAATGTGTTGCAAAATTAAGTTCAGCTAGGTGGCGCCACCGTGATTCTACAAGACGGACGACGGTACGATGGACGAACACAGAAGGTCAGAATATCTAGATTATAATGTCTTTTTACCATAATTAAGATAAAAAATGTATGGATCTGTATTTTTTCACGCAGGACCAGGAAGAGAGCGATAAAAACATAAAATTCACCAGCTGATTTTCTTCAAACGTTTTGGTGTATTGTAATTCACAGAATAGGCGATAACCTTGCAGACGATATTAAGTAGTCCGTTGATGCTCTGCCTACCCACAAGGGTTACAAGCGTGATTATAAGTATGGATCCGAAATACTATCACCACCTGTCACGCTTTCACCCTTAACTACGAGTATTACTTAACTGTGGTAGAAACAGTTCTTAATAAGCCTTATTAATAAGCCTTAGTAATATTTTTTGAAACGAAAAATAAATACAGTTCTTATATGTGGTTATGAATGAATCGGTATTACAATAAGAAAAATTATGAAAAATTATAAGAAAAATATTTTTGAGAGTTCTTATTAACTAACGTATACATAGTTTAAATTGATTCCGCTAGATGTCGTTACTCGGTTTTTAAAACGCGGTAACGAAATATTTCCTGACATGTACTTAACTTCCGCCGTTGAGCCGCGCGTCAACTTATAGTGCATACGATACCTATACGCTTAAATTGTTTCTATTTCGTAGCTTATTCGACTACCTGTACCTGATTTCGATTTCGGTTGTTTGTTATTTGCTTTGTGATTTGGTTAAGGTTGAATGGATTTATATTGGCTTTCATTTTCGGATTTGTGTATTTTCTTGGATCGGTTTTGTTGATTTGGTTGGTATTCCTTTATACATATTAGACTCTGGCTTTGATTTTGGATTTTGTTTATTTAGAATCGTGAATTGGTTTTCGTTGTTTTAGGTTAATTAACAATATTTCAAAGGAATATTGATAGTATAGATAGTGTATACGGTACCTATACACTTACTTCTTTTCTCGTTGGTTATATTTATATTGACTACTGCTTTCGATTTCGGTTTTCTGCGATTTGTTTTGTGATTTGGTTTAATTTGATTCGATTTTTGGGCTATCATTTTCGGATTCGTGTTGTGGCTTGAATTGGTTTTGTTGTTTTGATTTAAAAAAATATTTAAAAGGAATATTTATTCCTTTTTGATATTTTAGACTTGCTTTTAAAAAAAATATTTAAAGGGAAATTTAATTCCTTTTAGGTATTTTAACGTTTTTTTATAAATAGGTTTTTTATTACTTTATAATGCCTCGCAAACTTAAGTCCAGTATTTCAAGAGTACCCTCTCAAAAACAAGCAAAGATCGCTAGAATATTTAGAAGATGCTGAACTGAGAAGGCAAGAACAAGCAGAGTGTCATGCTGCTTTTAGAGCATCTCAGATACCTTCTCACGTCAGCAAAGACGTCTTGAACAGACAGAGCGTCAGGCTCCTTTAAGAGCTTCCGAAACACCTTCTCAAAGTCAGGAAAGGCGTCTTGAACAGGCAGAGCGTCAAGCTACTTTAAGAGCTTCTGAAACACCTTCTCAAAGTCAGAGAAGGCGTCTTGAACAGGCAGAGCATCAATATACTTTAAGAGCTACTGAAACCCCTTGTCAAAGTCAGCAAAGGCTATTCGAACAAGCGGAACGTCAGGCCGCCTTAAGAGCCGCGGAAACACCTGATGAAACTCAACACAGACTCATTGAACAAGCTGAACGTCAATCTACTATAAGGGCATTTGAAACACCAGAACAGACACAGGCGCGAAGAGATGCAAATGCACAGCTCCAAGCTGAACGTCGACAAAATGTTTAAGGAAATATTTGGTCAGTTTTTAATGACGCAGCATTAAATTATGACCCGTTGATAGATTATAAAAATCACAAGTAAATTGTTATCGGACTGATGGATGAGGCGTGTCGATTTTGCATCGCTTTGAAATGGAAAGATGAGACCGCACGCATGTGCTGTTCCAATGGCAAAGTGTCTCTTCCGTTACTTGGGGAACCAGAAGAACCTTTGGAAACTCTCTTTTTATATGTTGCTAATATGTCACGGCGCTTTTTAAACAGGATCCGGAAACATAACTCACGCTTTCTAATGACGTCCTTCGGAGATGACCGGGAAATAATAATGCCGGGATTTTCGCCTACATTCACGGTGTAAGAGCAAATTTATCACAGAATAGGTTCACTTATTCCAGTTGAAAACGAACAGCATAAATTTTTACAAGTATATTTTATGGGTGACGAAGAAATTTAGAGAAAAGAACGTTCTGCCAATTTATTCAGGGAGTTGAGAGAGACACAGTGTTCAAAATTCAAAGATTCTTGCATGAACGTAACACTTTAGTCAAAACATTCAAAACTGCTTTAGAAAACCTACCTGAAAAGGATTATAAAGTCGTCATTCACGCAGATCGGACCCATCGAGAAGAGCATGAAAGGCGCTACAATGTACCTTTGATAAACGAAATAGCAGCCGTAATTAGTGGTGATCAATTTTCTTCACGAGACATTGTCTTGCGAGCACGTGATGATAAATTGCAACGGGTAGCCGATATACACAAGTTATATGACGCTCTGCAATACCCATTGATTTATTGCAAAGGACAAGAGGGCTATCATTTTCAAATTCCACTACTAGAGACTACTCCGAACAAAAAGTATAATGTATGGATTTTTATGCGTATCATATGATGTTGCGAGAAAATGATTTTAACCTCTTAGCCCGGTGTAGACAATTATTTCATCAATTTTTAGTAGACATGTATGGAAGGTAGAAAGTGAACGTCTCCGTTATATATCTTTAAATCAAAAAAAGCAGCGCGTTGAGAATTATATACATTTAAAAGATGCAGTTTCGATTTAGATTAAGATTTAGGTAAAATGGTAATTCTGCCCTCATCATTCGTTAACAGTCCCCGCTACCTACATGAGTACACACAAGACGCATTCGCCTATGTACGAACTTACGGAAGACCTGATCTTTTTGTTA